TGATGGAGAAACATAACTGACATCCACCTCTGGCCTCCACATGTGCACACACAGATGAGCTCACCTGCACACAGTACACACATGCATGCACCACATACAAGACACACCCACACACAAAAATCGAACTCACCAAACAGAGAACTTTTGTTCTGTTCACTGTAGTATTTCTGGATCTGAAACATTGCATCTGCACACAGGAAGTTCTCAAGAAGCTGTGTGAATGGGGGAAAAGAGCTATGTAATGCTGGCAGTGCATCCCCTGACCTTCCCTCCTTTGAACCTACAGATACGGAACAGGCTACCCTACGAACCACCCTTTTCCCTCTTGCCTTTGCTGGAATTGGAGTATCTGTGGTCTTCCAGTAGGAGAGCAGAGCCACCTTCCCATAAAAGCACGTTGCTCTCATTTTTCAGGACAGTTAATCCCTTTTTAGTTTGGAAAAGCTGATCACTCATTTTGAGTTATGCTCAAGGTAAAAAAAAGGGGGGGGGTGCCAGGTGTGGTGGGGCACACTTTTGATCCCAGCACTTGGGAGGCAGAGGCAGGCAGATCTCTGAGTTCAAGGCCAGCCTAGTTTACATAGTGAGTTCCAGGCCACCTGGGGCTATAGGGAGACCCTGTCTCAAAAAAGTCCAAAAAAAGGAAAAAACCTGTAACATGCCTTTCTGTCAATCAGTGTTGATTTAGACTCAGTTTGTGAGATGTCTTACCTACTCAAGAGGATTATTAGCTAGCATCTTCAGTTTTTTTTGTTTTGTTTTATTTTGTTTTTTTGAGTCAGGGTCTCCCTGTAGCCCCAGTTGGCCTTTAACTTGCCATGTATACCAGGGTGGCCTCACAGAGATCCACCTAGGTCTGCCTTCCAAATGCTGGGATTAAAGGTGTGTGCTACCACACCCAGCTTGCATCTTCAGTTTTAAAGTACCTTGAAGGTTGATATTTTATCTGCCAAATTTTTTATTGGGAAAACCGTTGTCAAAAATAACCTTCTGGGCTAGCTTTCATAGCCTTGGGGAACACTACTCACGCTGCTAAGAGAGAACATCAATGGATGGTCTAACCCTACCTTTAAGGCCTAAAAACCACATCCATGACCAGCACAGTAAACAACATTGGTGCAGTAGTGGCACTTTTACCTTGGGAGCAATCAACAGCTATCTAATTGGACTTAGAGCCCACTCAATGGGAGAAAACTCATGTGTGGCACTGTAAACAAAGCCAAATACACATAACTGGAGAGGTCATAGATCTAGGCATCGCTGGAAAAATGTAATTTCTTACTATGTGAAAAATATGGATCCCTAAATTTATAGACAACTATCCCAATCACCACCCATCAAAGAAGCTTCTTTTTCAAGATACAGAGATAATTACTGAGTTCCACAACTGGTTACACACAGAGATTATGAATTGCCCAAGTCTAAGAGGAACGTCTACGATGCAACCTCTACACCTAAGGCCCATGGAACATAGAACAAGGGATGAAGAGAACACTATTGCATCTTTCAACTCTCATCAGTGAGGCTCATTGCAACAGAGGGCTGGGAATGCAAAAGGTCACAAATGGCCAAAACACAGAGGATAAAATTCTGAAGAGTGTGAGTCCTTGGACAGTACTCCTGTATTAACCTCCACCCACCCAGGGCTCAGGGACCATTTCAGAAGAGGGTGCAGAAAGATTGTAAGAGCCAGGGAGGAGGTGCATGACCATATGGAAATAGTCCTACAGGTACTTGGGACCCTTCTCATACAAACCTACAGCAATGGCATCAGCATGCACAAGACCCAGGCAAACTCATGCAGATAAAACCCAGCAGAACTGTGGAAATGAACAACAGGCCCCAATCTTAGATGAAGAATTATTGGGAAGTGATAACTGCTGGGTGAGGAAGAACTGATCTTCTTAAAGGGAGGGACTCTAGATAGGCTGACTAGATGCCAGTAGATGAACTTGCACTGAGAGACATCTGGGGACACTAAATTTACATGATAGGCCTTAACACAAATAACAGAATGTATGAACTCCAGTGGGGGGGGGGTGCTATGGGAGGGCACCAAGGGGGAAGGGATATAAGATGATTTTTTTTCTATATGAAATACACAAAAATTCAATAATTTTATTTATTTTTATTTTTTTAAAGAAAAGGCCTTCTGGGGCTGGGGAGATGGCTCAGCAGTTAAGAGCACTGGCTGTTCTTACAGAGGACTCAGGTTCGGTTTCCAGGACTGACATGATGGCAGACAGCCATCCCTAACTCCAGTTCCAAGGGATCTGATGTCCTCTTCTGACCTCTGCAGACACTGCATGACACTGGTGCACATACACACATGCAGGCAATGTACTCAAACACATAAAAACAAAAATAAAAAATAAAATATTTTTAATGCCCCAAAAATATCCTTCCCATACCTCTCACTGAACAAGCATGTGTCACACCACACATCACACACCACATACGTTTATTTTAAAAATAAATGACACTAGGGCTGGAGAGATGATGCAGCAGTTAAGAGAACTGGTTCCTCTTGCAAAGGACCCCGGATTGAATCCCAGCACCCACAGGGCAGCTAACAATCACCTGTAACTCCAGTTCCAGGTGATCTGACACCCTCTTCTGACCTCCACAGGCATTGTATAAAAAGAAAAAAATAAAATATTTTAAAAATAAAGAACATTAAAGGGGTGTTTGTGTGTGCATATATATACATATACACACAAATATATATATATACACATATATATGTGTATATATACAGTCAGCCCTCTGCAATTTTACAGATTTAATCCATCTTGGATTGAAAATATTCAGTGGAAAAATACAAAAAAGAAGAAAAATATTCAGTAAAGAAACTATGTCTATATTTAACATGTACGAAATTTTTTTTATCATTGGTGCCTAAACAATGCAGTATAGCAACAATTCACGTGGCATTTATACCTCATTGGTAGAGATAATTTAAACTCTTTTAGCGGATGAGTGTAAATTCTACATAAATACTATACTGGTTTGTATAAGGGACTTGAGCATTTGTTGATTTTGGTGTCCATGAGGGTCCCAGGAACCAACCTCTTGTGGGTACTGAAGGACGTCTTTGCAGTAGTGAAATGGGTTACAAAAGAAGGAGTACATTTGTAAACATTTCTAAGCAACTGGCTAAAAATTGAAAAGTATGGAAGCAGTCAAAACAAAAACTTTGAAAGCATATAAATATAATCTTAAATGTGTTGAAATATGTTACTTTTCTCCTGGACTTGGAAAGTCATTGCTTTCTGAAGTTTGGTTTTATGAGCTGTGTGAGAATAAAAAATTCATAAGAGACCTCTATATCAATAGTTTCCAGTAATACATGTTTTATATACTCTTTTAAAGGACAGTTAAGATTTAATTCTTCTTAGAACTTACTCATCTCATCCGTTTTACTCCTATGTCCAGGCCAGCCCAGGGCACTTGGAAACAGTACCATAAACAGTTACTTTTTGTGAGGAAGGTGACTGGATATGTTGCCTACCCTGACTGGAGAGTTGGGGCACTTTTTTATATGCCTTTACCCAGAAAGTTTACAAAACTCCCATCCATGGGTCTATGTATGTAGCTATTTTTCCTTCTGGTGATTTGCTTTCATAGAGGAAGTTGGTTTTTTGTTTTGTTGTATTATTATTATTATTATTATTATTATTATTATTATTAGTCTCTTTGTTTTGTTTTGAGGTGAGTCTCCTTATAGCCCCAGCTGGCCTGGAACTTTCTATATAGAAAAGGTTGGTCTCCATCTCAGAGATCCACCTGCCTCTGCCTCCTGAGTGCTGAGATTAAAGGCATGCACCACCATGCCCGGCTTGAAAGGTTTTTAATTTTATTTTTATTAAAATCAATATTACTTTTGACTCATCAAATGTTTGGAAACTTTGTTGAATAAGCATAAAGTCAACTTTACCCATCTCACTACCTTCAAAATCCTCCCAGTATTAGCACTTTGCTTACCAATTTCCCTTTTTTCTTCTTCTACCACTTAATTATTACCCTAAAGAAAAATATATGCTTTTAGTCCATTTCTCTAAGTTTGCTAGTTGACATCAGTTATTTTTCTTGAAATAATAAAAGGGGTAACATTAAATGTCCCAGTTGAATAAATCACCAACAGTAAAAATGTAGATGATTTTGTGTATCTCAAAAATGTTTGAGTTCAGGATCTTTCTCACTCATTTTATAGTTTGGTGCTCTGAAACACTGTTGAGTTTGTCTGTATGGCTAAATTATTCTGCATCTGTTCACAAAGCAATAATCTGAACTCCTCCAGCAGTGAGGTCATTTTGTCTGTGAATTTTGGAAAGGATTTACATTGCAATTGTACTTTTTGCAGTCCTATCATTTTATTCCTCTTAGGTATTTCTCTCTAAAGAACTGTGACTATAAAGTAATAATACAGGTTTCTGTGAGCCACCTCTGCTAGACTGTTATTTTGTAATCACACCTCGTAAATGAAATGAAGGAAATATTGGAAAACAATGAGACTTGACAACACCTTCTTAGTCAGTTGCAGCGTTTATCTCCTAGCACACATTCACAACAGTGTGAAGTCAGATTCTCAGAGGCTAGCTTCCATTCTCCTCCAGTGTTGGCAGTGAGAACAGAGACCGTTTCATAAAACTATAAATGATGGGCCTGGAGAAGTAGCTTAACGGTTAAGAGCTGTTCTTGCAGAGGACCCAGGTTTGGTTCCCAGTACACACATGGCTGCTAACAACCATCCTTAACTCTAGTTCCAGGGGATCTGACGTCCTCTGCAGGCACTGCACAACAAGGGTACACCTACCTACATGCAGGCAATACACTCATACACATAGAATAAAAATAATAAATAAAATGTTTTTAATTATAAACGAATTCAGACTTTTATTATGTAAATGTGACATGTATTTTTATAAACTGAAGTTTCTTGATAGAGAATTACAGTTTCTAATATATGTACTATGCTCTTCATTTTCCTTTCCTAATAGGTGAAATGAGGAATGATTTATATATCACCATTGAGAGGGGAGAATTTGAGAAAGGAGGGAAGAGCGTGGCCACAAATGTGGAAGTTACAATGTTCATTGTAGATAGTAATGGCCAGAACTTGAAGGTACGTTGGTACTGGATTTTTTTTTTAATGGTATGACAGCTACTATAGTTGTTTGATTTCATTTTTTAATGTGATCAATTCATTTCTAACTTGCAGTATTTTCTTTTCCACTCCTGTATAGTTGTCTTTTTTAAAAGTTCATTAAAATTCTTCACAGAAAAGAAATTGGAAAAACAAAAGGCGTTTGTATCTTGCTGCTTATGTATGTCAATAATTTCCTTATAGCAGTTATTCCTTAAATATAGTATTTTAGTACCATTTAATTTTTTTCCTTTTATCCATCATAATTTTGTAGATGAATGCTTTTTTGCTCTAGCAATTGGCTAAAACAAAAGAAAAAAGATCATGTTTAATCTTATAATTGTCGTTTTGTTGTTGTTGTTTGTTTGAGACAGGGTCTCCCTGTAGCCCCAGCTGGCTGTGTAGACCAGGCTGACTCTGCCTCCAGAGCGCTGGTATTAAAGGCATGTGCCACTAAGCTTGGCCATTTTATATATATATATACATACTTACTTGTGATATGAAACATATATATATATGTATATATATATGTATATGTATATATATATGTAATTTTTTTATTTTTTATTTTTATTTCTTTTTCACTGAAAGAGAGTTTGGTACTACTTGCCAGTTGGGGCAACAATAATGAACTTTTGGGAAGGAATGTTTTCTGTGAGCACTACCTGATAGAGAAGTATCAGATATTTGCCTGTTCCTCTGAGAGCTGACCCTGGGCCTTCCCTAATCTCCCACTGGATCATGCAAGAGACTTTAACTGCAGCAGATTGGGAACCTGGCTTCCTAGAATTGAACTCTCACATCACCAAGGCGCACCCCTGACACAACATGCCTTGGAGACCAGCCTCAGAATCTAACACTCATTCCACTAGGCAGAGCAAATACAGAAACAGCACCGGAAAGACTGGGAGGTAATTTCCCATGAGGTGCTGTCTGGGGAACAGGCTGGCAGAGAGGCAAATGCTCCCTCTTGCAGAAGCCTCCCAATGAAGCTGGCTTTAACCTGTTTGTTTCCTTTATTAGGATTTTATCTCCTTTGGCGCTGGAGAGCCTCCTGCTACTGAATACCACTCCTTTGTGCTTTATCATAACAACAGTCCCAGGTGGTCAGAACTGCTGAAACTTCCCATTCCTGTGGATAAATTTCGGGGCTCCCACATCCGCTTTGAGTTTAGGCATTGTTCCAGTAAGTGTTTGGGAGTTGGTCAGCAGCTTTGTGTTCTTCGGGTTGGTTGTATGCTTTTGAGCTGCACTACTGTGGGTGGATCTCCAGAAAGGATCACAAAGAGGGAGGGAGGCAGGCAGTAGGAATCTTGGAAGTGAGGGGTTTATAAGCCTGGAGAAGCAACAGTGTGGAAACAGAAAGGAAAGGGGGAGGAAAAGACCACAGGAGACCTAGGATTCTCATAAAAATCCAGCTCATCGCTCAGCCTAGAGAGACTGGACAGAAGGGGGAGACACAGCATTAGAAAACTACACTTGTTCTGGTAGTCTTGGGTAATCCTGGCTTTTTAGTATTGCCTGGAACTAACCCAACTCAGAGATACCCCCTGAGAATTTTCTAGGCACGTGAAGCTGATAGGAAAGCTTTAGTGAGGCTAGGGTTTGTGGTGATTTGTGTATGTCTGCATCACCGTGCAGTCTCAGATGGGGATGAAATGAGAATCAGGTAATGTCAGCTGGACAAGGCCTTGGAGATAATATGAAATAATTGCTTCATTTTACAGATTTAAGCAGCTCAAGACAGAAACTAGATTGTCTGGTCATGAAGTTACCATTTCCTGATGTTTATTTCAATTCTTTTCACTTTTTCTTTTTTTTTTTTTTTTTTTTTTTGTCTTTTTGAGACAGTATCTCCCTGTAGTCCCAGTGGCCTAGAACTCAATATGTAGACCAGGCTGGCCTCAAATTCACAGAGATCTGCCTGCCTATGCCTCCCAAGTGCTGGGTACCACCCTCTGACACCCTGTTTCCTACCCTCACCCCTGCCAACCCTAGACCAACGATCCTCTGACATTCCCTATACCTCTGAAGTACAGACACTACCCAGTGCGGTGCGATCAGGAAAGGTTCTGGTGAATCTTGCTTTGGGAGCAGAATAACAAGCAATGGATGCAGGAGAGCATATTAGAAAGGAAGTAGGCTCTTCTCCAGTCTGGAAGGAAGAAGGGTTATTACCAAGAGATTCATGACTTCATCTGCATGACACTGTAATTCAACTAAGGTTCAAATGGAGGAAGACCTTGCTTGTGGTCAGAACTATGGAATATTTCAGAACTGACTCAGAAAAACTATATAAATTAGGCTTTTGTGGACATTTCAGAATTCAGGATGATGGCTAGCAGAACCTCACTATCCTAAATTCCCAGAGGAGTTCCCAGTGTAAAGGGCTTGGCGTGGGAAAATGGACTTGGGAATCTGTTCCATCTCTTCCCACTCAGCCTTATACTTCAAATTTTTTTCATTCAAAAGAACTAGCAAAGAACAAAAAGGGAAAATGTCTTCATGGTCCCACAAACTACAAATGCCCAATGACATTATTTTATTACATAGACTTACAACTATTTCTGTGCATGTATATTTACTCAACAATATCATTTATTCTTAAGATGAATGTTTCTTGAACATCCACTGTATGCCAGCCACTTTCCTGGGTACTGCAGCTGTATCCATGAACACAGCAAGCTTCTTCCTCTGACAGAGCTTCCACTCAGAGACAGAGGACAGACAATTAACAATAAATGCATAGGACGGTAGTCCCCTTGTACCTTCAGTGTTGCATTCCATGATTTTGGTTATCTGTGGTCAACCACAGATCAAAAATAATTAAATAGAAAAGTCCAGAATAAAATATTCTTAACTTTTAAATTGTATAACATTCTGAGTAGTTTGAAGAAATCTCTCACCATCTGTTCTGGTTAGTTTTCTATTGATGTGACAAAAACACTGACCAACACCAACTTGGGGAAGAAAGAGTCTATTTGGCTTACAGCTCACAGTCCATCATCAAGGGAATCCAGGGCCAGAACCTGGAGCACAGACCATGGAAGTACACTGCTTACTGGCTTGCTCCTCTGGCCTGTACTCAGTCTGCTTTCTTATATAGCACAGGGCCACCTGCCCAGGGCTGGTAGAGCCCAAAACAGGCTATGCCTGCCCACATCACAATCAAGAAAATGCCCTGCAGACATGCCACAAGCTAATCCAAAGGAGAAAATTCCTCAATTGAGGTTCCTTCCAACCAGGTGTGTCAAGTTGACAACTGATGCTATCCAGCACACCATCACACCCCTTCAAGTTGTAAATTATCTTTGCCCAGAATATCTGTGCTGTGTGAGATACCTTCCTGTTAGTCACTAAACTGTCTCAGTTATCCTATCAACTGCTGAAGTATTATAGTGCTCATATTTAACTGGCCCTTATTTTACTCACTGTTAGTCCCAAAACGTAAGTATAGTGATCCCAGTGACTCAAATATGCCAAAAAGAAGCAGCAAGGTGCTTTTATGTGAAAAAGTAGTTGTTCTGAACTTAGTAAATAAAATTTTAAAAATTATGTGGAAAGACTGATAAGATGCCTTTGTTATTAACTTCTTCCTGTGCCTAAATTTTAAAGATTTCCATTGGTACATATAAGATATATAAGGCTTTCTATTGGTACATATAAGATATATAAGATATATACTATTTGTTGTTCAGGTAGCCAGTGGGAGTCTTGGAACATAGTCCCTGAAAACCGGGGTGAACTGCTGTATACCAGGTAGCGAGTGATGAGTGCAGAGAAGAAGACTGAGCTGATAGGGCTAGGAAGTGATAGTTCTATATTGCTGTTTTACGTGGAGCAGTCAAGAAAGAGCTTTCTGATAAGAAGATTTGTCAGCAGTAAAGTAAAAGAATTGAATGTCTGAGCCATTGATGTATATGGGGGAAGAATAGTCCAGACAGAGAGAACAGTAGATGGGGAAGTCATACTGTTGAAACATGCTTGGCATTTTCAAAGAATAGCAAGAGACCAGAGGTAGCAAGGGAGCAAGACCTATTTGACTTTTATGTTGTGTTGAGGACTATGAATCTGTTTGAGTGAGGGACACCACTAGAGAATTTGGGGTAAAGAGAAGTCTTACTGTAGGATGGATAATAGATCATAGATGGGCCAGTTAGAAAGAGGAAGACCACTTTGGAGGCATTGCGATTCTTGAAATAAGAGACTAAAGTGCTCCAAAATAGGATGATAGCAGTTTGTTTTTACAGATTATTCATGGATTAGATGTGAAAGAAGGGAAAAAGTCAAGGATGACCCCAGTATTTGATCCTGAGAATAAAACGTACATTTAATGAAGTGGGCAGGACAATAGAAACCATCTGTTTGGGGAGCAAAAACCAAACTTTCCATCCTAGATATTTGATGTCTACCAGACATTCAAGGTGTCAGAGCAACAAATGAATGAGATCCAGGTTGGAAACTTAAACTTTGAAATGAGATCGTTGCCCCCACCTGCGGGGACCCTGTACAGGTAAAGCTCGAGGGGGACGACTCCCTGAAAAGAAAAACGGGCGAGAAAGAGGAGACGGAGCCCAAGCAAGTCCACTTGTCAAGTGTCCGCTTTATTGAACTGCAAGCTTTATGGGTATGGGAGGGGGACTGAGCAATTCAGCAACGTGACTGACCACCAGGTGTTCCAAGAGATTACTGCATGACTTATCTTTTCCGAGAACTGTTTGCAAGGGGAAGAGAAAGATAACCTTGCCATAAATTCTTTCTCAAGGTTACTAGTGCAGGCAGAATTTCCTGCTTAAGTCAACTGTTTGTAGAGCTATATTATATTTTTTGGTAATGATTGTTGTTTCTCCAGCTCCCGACAGATCGTGTAGTTCAGTGGTTGGCTATAAATATTTAATGACCAGTACTTGGGACAGGGCTAGCCCTGATCTGTAACATTTGGTGATTTCCATGGTACTATTGCTGTAACTATGGCCAACTCTGATCACTGTTATGACTTCACTGAATGTGAAAGATGCACTTTTCCAGCTGGTGTGATCCAGCACAGTCCAGCTCCAACACATCATCCATTTTGATTTTTCTTAAGGGCAGGAGATGGGGTGAGATTCCTAAGTAGTAAGCTTAATGGCAGAGGGAAGTCCAAGAATGGGTCTCTAGGACACTCAGTGTACTTACAGCTGGGAAAAATGAGAAGATGCTGTTAAATGGCATTAAAAGGGACTAGCCAGTAAGTTAAAGAACAATCAGGGAATCCAGGAGGCTAAGGGGAGGAGGTTTTTTTGTTTTTGTGTTTTTTTAATTGAGCTTTTAAAATTTCACACATTTTTCATACAAAATTTCATACAACATTTTCCACTCAAATCCAGACCGCCCCCCGTATCCCTGCACTGAACTCTATGCACTCTGCCATACATGCTGAGTCCTATTCATTCATGTGTTTGTACCCAAATGTCCTTCAGTGTAAATGCATCCACTGGAGTCTAGTCAGCCCATCCAGTGGGGAAGTTTTTGAAGAGAGAATTGGTCAGATATGTCAGATGTCAGTAATACATAAGATGATGACATAAAAAATTATCATTTGATTTAATATCAGAAATCATTGGACCTGATAAGCTGCCTTAGTGGATTTGTGGTGGTGAATGTGAGTTTAAAAGTGAGAAGCAGGAGTCCAGCGTGGTGGCATGCACCTTTAATCCTAGCACTTGGGAGGCAGAGGCAGGAAAATCTCTGTGAATCCAAGGCCAGCCAGTGCTACAGGGAGACCCTATCTCAAAAAGACCAAAAAAAAAAAGGAAAGGGAAGCAGTAAATACACTCAAGTCTTTTGAGAACTGTTGCAATGAAGAATACAAAGTCATGTTTGGGGCTACGAAAACTCAGTATTTTCAAGATGTCAGTTCTTCCTAACTAAATCTATAGATTCAATACAATCTTAGTCAAAATCTCAGCAAGTTTTTTCTAATGAATATTTAAGAAACAGATCCTAAAGTTAAAGATCTAGCATAGCCAACATCCTATGAAAGAAGAGCCAAGTTGCAGGATGACATTACATGCTTTTAAGGCTATAATCCCAGCACTCAGGAAGTAGAAGCGGTAGGGTCAGAAGTTCCAGGTCATCTTGGAGAAATATGTGACCAAGTTTAAATAATTAAAAAAAAATTTAACTATAAAACTGCAATAATCAAGACAATAAGATATTACAAAGAGATAAAAGATCCAGGGGCCAGACCAGAGAACCCAAATATTGTTGAGCATAAGACAGTCAACAGATCTTTGCCAAAGAAGCAAAGAAAATTCCATAAAGGAACATATTCTTTTCAACAAATGGTGCTAGTCCAACAAATGGACCAGATGACATCGAGTCATCCAAGAGCTGGGAGGTATAATCCACCAATTCAGGGTATTTTATTAGTAAAAAGGATATCATACTATGCAAACATATATGAGTCCATTGAACTTACTGGCTAATTGCTCTAATAGCTAAGGGCAAGTGGCCATGAATGTAAACATTATTGTAAACATTATTGTATTATCTGATAACAAGTAAAGTTCAAAAGTCAAGTAAATAGTCAAGTAGAGTTCAAAAGTTATTTCTGAATGAGTCTTCTATGAATCCTAAGTTCCTGCATTGTCATTGGTGGAGAAACCTCTTCCCAGACACTTTTCTATAATTTTGCTTAGCTTTAGTAACATCAGTGTTTTCCCACTTTTTTTCTGTATTAGTCACTGTTCTGTTGCTGTGATAGAAACACTGACCAAAGCATTTATAGAAGGAAGAGTTTATTTGAGCTTATGCTTCCAGGGGAATTACAGTTTGTCATGGCAGGGAGGCATGGTGGCTGGAGGTGGCTGGAGCAGGAGCAGCAGAGTGAAGCTCTCACATCATCACCAGGCACAGGAAGCAAGAGGGTGACTGGAGATCTGGCAAGGCTTAAGAACTCTCTAAGCCCACCCACAGTGACATGTTTCCTCCAGGATAGCCACACCTTCTAAAACCTCCCAAAACAGTGCCATCATCTAGGGACAAAATATCCAAACACTTGGAACTTATGGGGGACATTTTCATTCAAACCACTACAGTCCACCCCGTGACCCTCATAGGCTCACGATCATATAAAATGCAAAATGCATTTAGTCCAACTTTAAAGTCCCCATAATCATTATCAGCCTCAATACTATTCAAATGTCCACAGTCCACAGGTAAATATCTTAACTGTAAGCCTCTATGAAATTAAAAGACAAATTACATACTCCCAACATACAGTGGAACTAAATACACATTGCCATTCCAAAAGGGAGGAATGGAGGCATGGTAAGGAAATACTGGACCAAAACAAGACCGAAAACCAGCAGAGCAAATACCAAATCCAGTAGCTCCACATCCAACTTCTGGAACTTTACTTCTGAAGGGCTTAGATGGCTCAGCCTTTCTAGCTTTGCTGCATGCAACACACATCTCTCTCTCGTGCTGGTACCACTCCCTGTGTGCAGGTCTTCTTGAGAGATGCCTCACAGCTCTGGCATCACGAATTTCTTGGGGTCTCCATTGCCAACCAGGCTTCACCTTCACAGCTTCACGCAATGGCCTATCAGGGTCTTCTCTAGGCGGGAGAATCCAGGCTTCACTTCACAGCTTCATGCAATGGCCTATCAGGACCTTCTCTAGGCTGGGGAATTCCTGCTTCACACTGCCTGGCCTCCGAGGCACTCTGAAACCTCAGAGGGAGAATTGGTGACCCCTTCACTCTTCCATCTTTCATGCCTCTAAAGCCAGCACCAGGTGAGGGACACTGCCAAGTATGAGTGGAAGTTTGGGGTGGACTCCAGCCTGCTTTATCCATTTTAGAAGCTTTTCTGTTCTGTGGCCCCTGCAGCATTTTCCTTTCACAAATTGGAGACTTAACTGGGTGTGGTCTTGCCCTGGAGGCATTCTCTCCATTGTTTAAGTTTGAATCTCTAGGCCCCTCCTTAATCACTTTAATCTCCTTAATCACTTTAATCTCTTTATCAATGGGATCCTCTTCATCACATGCCAGGGCTCCAACATTTATCTTCCTAGTGCTCTTTTTCAATCCAAACTGTACTTCTCTCTGCCCCATTTGCTCTCTTTCACTCTAGATCTGCATAATATTCACCATTAATAGCCATGCCTCCATTTCTATATTAGGCTGTCTTGAAATTTCTTCCACCAATGAAATTAGTCCATTACTTTTCAACTTAGCCTCAGGCAAGCTTTTAGGTTGAGAGCAGACTCCAGCCAGACTCTGCCAAAATATCCCAAGTGCTGCTTAAGTCCTTATTTCCCTCTGGAACTACATTGTTCTCAGCACTACTTTCTTCCAGGTGTTTACTAGAATGGCCTGTTAAGCTCTGCTTACAGCAATCAACCACTGTTCTAGCCCAAACTTCCAAAGTCTTCCACATTTTTCCAAAACCCCACATGGTCAGATTCTTCACAACCAACAGTCCACTCTCTGGTACCAATTATTGTATTAGTCACTTTTCTGTTGCTGTGATAGAAACACTGACCAAAACAACTTATAAAAGGAAGAATTTATTTGAGCTTACCGTTCCAGGGGAATTACAGTCCATCTTGGCAGGGAGGTGTGGTGGCAGAGGTGGCTGGAGGAGGAACGGAAGCAAAGCTCTCACATCATCACATAGGCACAGGAAGCAAGAGGGCGATTGGGGATCTGGTAAGGCTTAAGAACTCTCTAAGCCCACCCCCAGTGACGTGCTTCCTCCAGGATAGCCACACCTTCTAAAACCTCCCAAAACAGTATCATCATCTGGGGACAAAATGTCCAAACACTTGGAGCCTATGGCGCACATTTTCATTCAAACCACTACACTTTCTAAAGTTAAATTTAATTATTTTAAAAGACTCTTTTTTAAAAGCACATATTTAATGAAATCACACTTCGAGGGATGTCATCCTCTTAGGGGTTCTATGCTCCCTCTGTGAAATGGGGGGAGCCGTTGTTAAAGGGTGTGTTGCTAAACCTCTTTGTGTAATCTTCAAGAACTCTGAAACAACTTTTTCCTCTAGCTCAGGTCTCACTGTGTCCCAAAGTTAAGCTTCTCTGTTCAAGTGTGTTGTTATACTGCCACACTTGTGTAGGAAAGAACAACCCTCCATCCCGTCATATGCTCCTAGAGAACTATTCCCCACATAGCCAAATACTTAAGGGTGTTGTAGATTGTGATCTGTTGCTGTGATAAACCAGGACCAAAGTAACTTGGGGAGGATAGAGTTTATTCCAGCTAACACTACTGTCTTTCACTGAGGGAAACAAAAGAAGGAATTTAAGACAGGAACCTGGTGGCAGAGAGACCAGAGAAAAACAGTGGATATTGGCTTGTTTCCCCCTGGCTTGCTCAGCAGCTTTCTTTATACAGCCCAGGCCCACCTGCCCAGGAAAGGCACCACCCATAGTGGTCCCTCCTGCATCAACCAGCAATTCAGAAATGCCCCACAGACATGCTCATAAGCCAGTCTGATGGAGACAATTCCTCAGATGAGGTTGCTTCTTCCCATGTGTCTCCATTCTATGTGAGGTTGACAAAGACCTAACATAAGGGGAGACTGCAACTGCAGTTGAACTAAAAGCTTTGTAGCATTCTCCAGTTTGGGGCGAGAAGAGGCTTGGTGGAAGGACAAGAGTACTGCTTGAAAGATCTAGAGCAAGTTACTTAACATCTGAGATTCTGTTTCCTTTTCTATAAATAAGAACTAGAATCAGCACTTCTAGCCGCTGTTCTTGTTATTAGATGTCTGAATACTCCCTGCCTCATCCTGAATTCCTGAGTACTACAGTAATACCACAGTAAACTGTAGTTTACAATTCATATTTCCTTTCTGTGTGCCTAACTTTTGCCTGAAGTAGCTTTACAGAGCTTGCTGTTCTCACGTGTGGACCAAGGCAGAGCTTGGAAATGACCTTTCAGAGAGCCAGTGTCTTAGGTACTCTTTGAAAAACCAGAACAGATAAGAATCCTGCTCCTAATAATGCATAACAGTGGAAAGTAAGATGTGAAGGGGAGAAAAAAAAGAAGTCCACAAAATTTTAAGAATATAAGTTATCTGTAACAAGTCCTGTGGAAAAAAATAGGCAAGGAATGTAATTTAAAGGTTACGGGCCATATGACATGGTGCCCGCCTTTAATCCCAGCCCTAGGGAGGCAGAGGCATGCAGATCTCTGTGAGATTGGGGTCAGCCTAGTCCACATAGTGACTTCCAGGCAGACTGGGACTAGGGAGACCCAATCAAAAAACACAAAGAAACAAATAGAAAGATTAGGGAGCATGAATATAGCATTAGAGGGTGGCCACTTTAGATAGATGTCCTGTCCTAAAAGTTGCTGTCCACTGTATGGAGGATCTGGAATGTGCTCGGGGCGGGTTATAGTCCTTGATGCTCTTTCTTCTTGTGAAAAATGTGTGAGTATACACTTTAATAAGCAATTATTTTCCTTTGCAGCAAAGGAGAAAGGAGAGAAGAAGTTGTTTGGTTTCTCTTTTGTGCCCCTGATGCAAGAAGATGGAAGGACTCTTCCAGACGGCACGCACGAGCTCATTGTGCATAAGGTACCATCAGTCCATGTTGGCTATAGGCTGTGGAAAGCAGGGTACAGTTGTTAACTCCTTGTCTTATCACTTTGGAAAAGAGGAAAAAATGACTTAAAAGAATACTTACAAACAAGGTTGTAAATAGGGATAGTTTCCTCTTAAAAGTACTATTTCTAAGTTCTACATCACATTCAATTATATATGCTGGTATTGAGGGACACATTCATCACTTTACATGCTTGGAAAATGCTCTACCACCATTCCCAGCCCTAAAACATATTTTAAAGATGGTTTTTTTCAGCCAGGTGTGGTAGCACATGCCTTTAATCCCAGCACTAGGGAGACCGATACAAGCGGATCTGTGTGAGTTCGAGGCCAGCCTGATCTCAATAGCGAGTTCCAGGCCAGCTGGGGTACAGGGAGACCCTATCTTAAAAGGACCAAAAAAAAAAAAAAAAAAGAGAGAGAGTTTTTTTCATATTAATTTAGGGATAAATATTTTCATAAATCGGGATGTCAATATTAAAGTCCTTTCTATTGTTGTGATGGGATTAAATAAACCTTATAAATAGTTTTGTAAATACTGCTAATAGATGCATTTTTATATATCTTTATATTCTCAGAGGACAGTTTAGTAAGTTCAACAGTACTTTAAAAAGATTATCTGTATTTTGTTTCTCCATTCCTGTAACCTTGTAATATTCTGAACCAGCTCTGACTTGTGCTAAGTGTTTCTACCGGTCTTATCTCCCTTTAGTCCAAATTCTGCCCAGACTTTAGGATGGCACATTGGTGAAGGTATAGCCAGGTCATTTCTCAGTTCACAGGCCATTCAGAAGCTGCTCATGTTCAGAGAATAGATCCCAAGCCTCTCAGGGTGCACCAGGCTTCTGCCTCCCCTCTGCTTCACCCCTTACCACGTCCTGTCTCTTCATGCTACAGCTGTGAAGAGACTCTTTTTAGGTCCTCATGCCCTCTTTGCTGGTTCTGTCTGCTCTGCCTTTGGGCCTTTGGGCCTTTGGGCCTTTTACCTTCCTCTCCAAGTACCCATCCCCTGGTGCTCTGCTTAATCACAACTTCCTTGAGGAACTGTCCCCAGTTTCCTAGCCCTACTCCCCATGTTCCCAGTTGGCCAAGGGCCCTCCCCTGACCTCCATAGCTTTCTGTACACTTTTCTTATAATGCACTCCATATACCATCCCAAATTCTTCTCATGATTTGTAGCTTAGGTTGGTAGATTTTTGAGCCCCAGGAATAATAGCTTTGTTCAAGGGGTTTTCATGTAGAGTACATGTGCAGTGGAGATTGACTGAATGAACAGCATGATTATAAATAAGAATGCTCTACACTTTTGAGTAACTGTTCATAAAATAATTGCTAATGAACAAGGTATCTGGTTATTTCTACTTTATGTATGTGTATTTTTAATCATTCATTTTTTGCTATTTGTTCAACATGTAAATTGAGCAAAAACTATAGCCAGATTCTTTTCTAGGTACTGGGAATATAATGGCCAACTGCAGAGTCAAATCCCTCTATTTCTGGCACTTACATTCTGTTTCATAAAATGATCTAAAGGAAATAAAATGCTGAGATATAAAGAAAATATATTATAATACAGAAAAACCAGTAAGGCAAACAGAAGAATGGCATATTCTAGACACCTTGCTTCAATCTAGTGACCTCACCTGTAGACCTGAGAGGTTTTCTTGTAAGCAGTATATAATATGGCAGTCACTGTCTCAGCCATTGCTCATTTTAATACCACCTATTAAGTAGGCTAAATTTTTAGCCAGTGATTTGAAATCCTCCTCTCCCCACATTTTTTTTCCTTTTAAATAATAAATTCAAGATTCCAATTATCAGCTCATACATGCCTTCAAGCTGCCACAGCAGAGGAGAGGAAGATGAGAATTAAGTTGGTAATTAGGGTTTGATAATCACAAGCTACAAGTGACCTTACACTGAAACTCAACCTGTTGATTCAGTGCTATGACACAGCAAACCAAATCATCAACCAGGCTAAAAACAAAGGCTGTTATACTTGGCAAGTATTTTACATCTCTTTAAATAACAATAACTAAATAACCCTATTCATAACAAATTCAACTTCCAAGAGGTTTTGTTATAGAGTCTGTTCCTGATGGGTCTGAGATGATCTGCCTCAAATCAGACAAGCTATAGACACCATCTTGAGCATCTTTGATAGCTGAGGAAGATCCCAGGAACACATTTACTCATTCATTTATTCATTTATTTGGTCTTTTTGAGACAGAGTCTTCCTGTAGCCCCAGCTGTCCTGGAACTCACTATGTAGACCAGGCTGACCTCAAACTCACAGAGATCCACCTGCCTCTGCCTCCCAAGTGCTGGGATTAAAGGTGTGCACTACCACTCCAGGCTAACACCTTCCATTTAAACTCATCAGTCTTTCGGGCTGGAGAGATGGCTCAGCAGTTAAGAACACTGGTTGTTCTTGTGGAAGACCCAGGTTCAAATCCCAGCACCCACATGGCAGCTAACAGTTGTCTGTAACTCCAGACCGAGGGGATCCAACAGCCTCTTTGGACCTCGGGCATTGCACAACATGGGTGCCCTTACCTACATGCAGGCAATACATGCATACACATAAAATAAAAATAAAACAAACTCATCAATCTTAAATAAGATTTCCTTTCTGGATTAGGATTCTCAGCACTCACTCAGACAAAATCTGTGTCAGGGCTTGAGTGAATTCAAAAGTATGTGATTTATTTGTTTGTTTGTTTTTGAGACAGGGTCTCCCTGTTAGCCCCAGCTGGCCTGGAACTTGCTATGTAGATCAGGCTGGCCTTGATCACATAGGTGTGGTTTTTGAGAAAAGTTTTGGCCCTGCTGATAAGTGCTTAGACAGGCCTCTATGAGGGAGTAGAATGAACCTCTGTCTGGAAATTGGCCTCAGGTAGATTCCTAACTGCTCACTTGAAGTGAACTCTGCTATGTGACTTTAGGTACCTGAAGTACACTGAGCTCTCTGATCAGTAATGGTACTATTCACCCTCATTTGAATATGTCAATCAGGGCTTGACTTGAAAACTAGCTCATGCCAAAGAAGCCTCCCCAACTCACAGGTGACAGTATTCACATGTGACGTGATACAGAAATGGTTCAATCTTCTGTTAACCTACTTTAAATTATCTTTGCCCTGAGGAGTCTATGATACAATGCCAGAGGCATCTATTCAGTTATGTTTTTTCTAAAAGCAATGGCTTTTAGATGATGGGACTGGAGCAAGAACTCGCTTCCCACCTTCTTTTCGGCTTCATTTCATTGATTATGTTTGAAGTGGTTTCTAATAGAAATAAATTCTGAAACGTACAAAACTCTGAATGTTGTAGCTATACAAGGGTAGGTGAAGTAACTGGATCAGTGTCCTTTCAGAGCTCCCTTTACAGCCTTCAGAACGTCAGTGATAACTCCAAATGGCTAAAGAATGTCAGAAGCTTCCTTTTGGAGTTGCCGATGTACTCGTTACAGATTTCTTCTCAGTAACTTGAGTCGTCCTACTGTGTTGTTAGGATTGTTGTCATCTTTAACTTTGTAGGGTCATGTTAGCAACCCATATGCAGCTACTTGCCTGAAAACAATTTAAGAAAAAGAAACAGAAATATATTCTCCAAAGTTTATCTCTTATGGAGAAGGAAGTAAGGAGCGAAAAAGTGGGTGACAGGATGACAGGCTAGGTACTCAAGTCCTCACTGACTGATTCTACTGCAGTTTTTAGTCAATGGAAGAATGTTCCAAAGTATCCTCACATCTAGTAAAAAAAATAAATAAAATTCAATCTGCCTATGAGATATTGGTGCTTTGAAAATTTATCATTGATTATGTCACCCACCATAGTGTGACCCCACTCAACCAAGCTTGGGTTTTGTCTAGTCAATAATTTGACTTCTTCAGTGGGACCTACTGGATTGCTAGTCCAGTGCATCTGAACAGGAAAAAAGCCAGGTAAGAAGTGGTCAGCTGTACTAGCTACTTTTCTGTTCCTGTGATAGAAACACTGCCCAAAGCAACTTATAGAAGAAAGAGTTTATTTGAGCTTACAGTTCCAAAGGGGCAAGAGTCCATCATGGTGGGGAAGCATGGCAGCAGAGGTGGCTGGAGGAGGAGCAGAAGCTAGGCTCTACATCTTCAAGCAGGCACAGGAAGCAAGGAGCTACTCGAGATCCAGCAAAGCTTAAGAACTCTCTAAGCCCACCTCCAGTGATGTGCTTCCTCCAGCATAGCCACACCTTCTAATACCGTCAGAAACAGTCACCAATTGGGGACAAAATGTCCAAATACTTGGAGCCTATGGGGGACATTCTCATTCAAACCACCACATCAAGCCAGTAGAGAATGCAATATTTGAGTGGACAGGGTTGATTTTAAAGTGATAACCTAGATGGCAAAAGCCTATCCTGGGTTAATTTACTTCACCTTTGCTGCAACCTCAGAGTTTGTCCATAAACTCTGTGTGGAATATATTTTTGTTCCTACAAGTTTTCAATTTCTTATGCCATAACCTGGTACCAGCTGACCCACTGTTACCTGCCACTTTTTCTTTTCTCTGGATACTCTTTTTGAGATGGATTGCTGATATTTATTTGGAAACTATTGCTGTCCCCTTATCTTGAACTTCCGTGTTGTCTTCTCTTATAGGATTTTTGCATTCATAAGTAAAAATCAAAATTGAGGTGTGTCTAATAATTTAGGTAGAGATGGATTTGCTACCTAGCTTGTTCCACATACTGCTCCAATGATTCTCAGAGACCTGTCCTGTAACCATGACCTGCCTCAGATAAGCCAGAAGGGTATCTGTGTATCCCAGGCTTTAGGGTAGAATACTTGATCACTTAACCCTTGCTTAATGATATTCACTGTTAGATAAAATTTTGAACAAAACCTAATTTTTAAAAATTAATTAATTAACACAGGAAATTTGATGTAACACACATCTGGCTGAACACAGAAGCTAAACAGGAAAAACAATACAA